AACGAATTGCTTGGAAACATAAATACATTAAGGACGCAAACGAATCACCGGTAGCTATAAATCTCAGCGTTATAGCTAACTTGATCGCAACAGGTATCACTTCTCTGAAGTGAGTGTTCTTTTTTGCGATTTTCGGCGCCACTATTTCCAAAAGCGTGTTGAAGTTTGCTCTGGACATTCGTGTAAAGTTTCTAAATAGAACCTCTTCATCGACTTCCAAATCCTTCAGAATTCCAAAATTCCGTTTCTTTAAATAATCCTTCATCCATATGCGTCGCCGCCGTTGCTCTTTTCTCTTTCTTTCCCCTGCGATAACTAAATATGCTGCACTTATGCCCATAAGTAAAGTTGCGTCTGCCATGTTCCTCTCTCCTGTTCAGAAGAATTGCCTGACAAATGGCAGCATAGTGTGGACAGCTAGGGGCATGCCTTTGACACATTCAACAAAGGCATGCCCTAAACGAAAGTTGAATTGAAAGTTGAAAATGAAAGCGCACGAGTGTAGACATACCCTTAGGCTAGGTAAATGTAAAAATACCATTTTTGTTTAAGATCTGATTTTATCACAGGTAAAGATGTTAGTAGTGGTCTTCTGAGTTGTGATTCCATGTGGATTTTAGTTGGTTATCAGTGCATCAGAGGAACATTTCACCATAGACAACTACCAGGAACACCATTCTTCTTACTTGTTTGGATATTATTTTGCAATGCTGTGACCAATGGGGTTTATATAGCATAAAATTTAGCCTATATTATTGATTTTATCATCATCCTTTATCAATATAAAGAAATGTTCAGAGAATACTGTAGTGCCTGATATTGTTAGGTATCAATCATAGCATCAATCCATGAAAGTACTGTTCAGGTAGTTGCATTTATTAAACATTTCAAGCTGTAAATCACTTTACAACAGATTTTAGCATTCTTTTTGCCATATGAGACCAGAGACAGGTGCTTATTGTGGGAAACAGAGATAGGGTTTGAATTATGACATTTCTGGTGACAAAACTGCTCTGCGGAAGATTTCATTGTATTTATCCACATCCCAGTTTCTCCAGATTGCATATCACCTTGTTCATTCTAGATACAATGTACCATGAGTTTTTATAAATTGTAAGAAAAATACAAACAAGAAATGCATACAGCATTTTAGTTGGTAGACTCCTAGGATAGAGGCCACTTGGGAGATGTGCGTAAATTAGAGGTAAAGTTTTGCTTTGCCTAAATACTATTCCATGAAGGTGTGTAGTAGGAATGAGGTAAAGAGCCACACATTCTTAGCCTCAGCACTCAGTGAAGGTGAGTCAGCTTTTAAGGTTAAGTGGACTATATAACCAGTCTGGATGTGGTATCAAACTAGAGAAATAGTTTTGTCGATGTGAACTAGCTTCTTGTAATTAAATAACTCAACATAACAGATTTTATTCATAAAACAATCATTAACCATTACTGAATATTTACTTACATTATCTTGAATTAATGATTCCAGTGTTGTGGGAATGTGTAACAGCAGTGTTGAGAGATTATGCATATCGGTAATGTTATCTAAAACTTTGCTATACAGAGCAAAGGTCAGATGTGATAGTAGTGTTATATTTGTAGAGATAAACAGCACTCCTTGAAAGCACTCCATGTGAAGATCACAGTTATAGGTTACTTAGCTTCCATCTAAAATTACAAAATGTATGCCACAACATGGCACATTTTGAAAAATTCCTTTTATTTAATGGTATTTAACAATAAAATTGTGTTTCACCACATTAAAATCTGATTTTAACAGCATAATTTTATGTTTTGTACTTTGATATTCTTGTGTAAATCAAAATTCTTATGCAACTACTCATTCCAGAGATATACAATCAACAAAAATGATATTTTATTTGGTTAATAAATAGAATGTTTCTAATAATACTTTTAATGTAGATTTGTATATATGTGGTGCAAAAAAATTACATATAAAGTTTAAAATCTGTATTCAGTTATGTCTTCATTATATATTTAGTGATGGGGCAGAGAATATGTATTGACAGAAAAATAGTATGTAAATTGCAAGAACTCTGTATTTCTATCAAAGTTTGTAAAAAAGTTACTCATTCTAAGGAATTTAAACCAACCTTTCATTCTTACTGCTAAGGTGCCTTGAAGAGGTTATTCAGAATTTAAAAAGGTTGTTTAATAAAGTTAAGTCCAGTATGGCCATCATGAGTATGGGTTTTAAACATTGATTTTGAATTCAAATGTCACAAGAATTGTTTGCAAACATTTTTTTAGGAAGAGTTTTATTGACTTTCTGGGGGAAAACATACTGATGTTCTGCTGTTTCATGAATAATTATCTCATGGATGAAAGATATTAGGGGTCCTTTAAGGAATATATATTTAGGTACTTCAGTGTGGTATATCTTATTCCTTAATGCAGTGGTGCTCAACCCATGGTCCATCATGTTAATGCCCTAAATTTTAAACAATAATTAGAAATATACTTGTGAGCAACTTCAGCTTTATAAAGAAAATCAAATCAAGAACTGGGATGAGTCTAACTGATGAACACTTTGAGGAATTCACTCACATTGAACAACAGAAATTAAACCTGGTACTGAATGATTACTCTAGTAAAAGCAGTTGTCAGATATCTCACAAATTAATGATTTTGTTAAAATTATTTTGTGAGCCTATTTACAATATTACACCTAATTTAGTGGTATTTAATGAACTGCCATAGCATTTCAATAAATTTCCCACATTTATAATCTTCCAGCCTGTGAGTCGATTGGGAAGGGTGGATGTGGCCCTAGAAAACATTAATTTCTCCCTGCCTTAATGGAATGTTGTGACTGCAGTGATTTGAAGTTGGAAAGCCCTGATGAAATAGGAATAGTGTAGCCACACCTGTTGTCACCAAATCAGACTAAAATTGAATTTTTATTTTTGTGGCATTTGGTTAATGAATATTATAAGACAGAGTTTTGTCAGCACTAATATAATTCCATTCAGTCATATCTATTGTATAATGTCTAGGCTTGATTGTACCATTTCCATAAAGCACAATTGACACTAATGAACCATAAAGTTTTGGGTGTTTTAATTTGATTATTTTGCACTCTGTAATTAGACTATTACAGAAAAGAGACTGTGCAAATTTTAAGTCTGCGAAACAATTTAAACACAAAGGAATAAATAGGATTTGAGGTTCTTAACAGTGACTAGTATAAACATGGCTGTCTTCTAGGTTATAGCAAGATATAATCTGATAGAAGTTTACTGATTTTTCAGAGGTTCTTGCTGCCTTCATCATCAGGGCAAGGAGTAAGCTGTGCATGAGAAATAGGTTTGAGATACATAAAGCAGTCAGTCAAGGCAGTACCTTGGTCAGACCAGTGGGGAAAAAGGTTCCTAGGCCTGGCCAAAAAGGGGAAAAGACATGCAAGAAAGAGACAGGATAAATAAAGGGTCCAGCAGGAAGATAACCAGACATGAGGAAATTTTAGCTAAGATGTTAAGAAAAGGAAATATACAGCAGAGAAAATGGGCTAAACAGAGTTTGGAAAGAAGAAATAAGGAATTGGTAGGGGCTGTGTTAGTGTTCTGAAAAGGACATTGTGCTGGCTTAGTGGCCAGATTGGGACAGGGCTGTTGTATTGGGGGTTTTATAAGTTTTTTGAAAGAGTGGACGAGGGGTTTCCATGACTGGCTCAAGGGAAAGCCATCCTCCCTGTTCATATTGTTGGGGTGTAGCTCAATCTCAGTGCCTTCACTCAAAAAGTGGTCCATGTATCTGGACTTTGCGGAGAGGATGGTGGTTTTCTGAAGTTGAGAACGGTGGCCCAGGTTAATGCTGTGTTCGGCCACGGCCGTTCTTTTTCTGGATGCTTCAGACAGATGGAGCAATGTATATATGTTATCTGTGGCAACAGTACTCCTTGACACTGATCAAACTTAACCACACCAGGTCGTCATGCTGTCTTTAGGAATAGTGTAATATTGTGACAAACATGTTACGAAATGTTGAAATTAAGGCTAAGGTTAGAGATTTAGGTGACACTGTGAGTAAAGCTAAGAAATTAAGCAACTCTGAAGGAACGTGGATTAAACAAGATGATATTTTCTTCAGGATACCTCAGGGACGCGGACGGTTGAAACTTCGGACGTTCGAGGTTAGTTGTGTACAGATTCAGTCCTTTTTAATTTTTTTCATGTACTCCTCTTGATACGATAATGCTTTGCCGAACATGGTGTTGTGTTCCTGGAAGATAACGCGATGGACAAAACCACTTTTGGCTAATATATTTAGTATAATTTGAGGTTATGTGGTTTTAAATTATTGTACGAAACATTTTTGTGTGGTTGTAGTACCAGTAAGGCATCTGTGAAGATTAAAATTAGCGGAAGTTTATCCTCGAGGTTTCAGAACACCACAAAACGCCACAATTGTGATAGTCAGTCTCCAATCCAGGGTTTGAACTGGGGAATCCCAAATACAAAGTAAGGTTTCTAACCAATACACTGTGATGGAACACCAATGAAACCATTACTGGAGGCATTCATTACAGACTATTTCAAGTTTTTAATTTATGGTCTAATAAATCGGGCCCATTATCTTTTGATATGTTCTTTTCCATTTCGAGTAAATGGATCTGATTACATCTTTTGTCTGCTTTACAGGATAGAAGTGCAGAGCTTATATTTTATGACCGGCCTGATAGTGATGGCCCCAAGTTGAGTAAATATGACAAATGCAGTGTTCCAAATGGTTCTCAGATGTCATCAGTACTCAGCTTTGCACTAGGCGTCGAGGGCAGTGTAAAAAAGAAACGACAGCTATTCATGGTTGGACAGACAAGAGTGCATATTGATTATGTTGAAAAGTTGGGAAATTTTATGGAACTTGAAGTTAGTACATATTGTTCAAAATGATAAATCTTATTTTAAGTTTTATATGAAAGATGATTAGCAAGGGGGTTACAGTTATGGCTCATTTGTACTGATGGTATTATAAACACAAAAGTATATTACTGTTTTTAGATTAAATTTATGGACCCAACAGTTTGATATGACATCTACACTTGGTTTTCAATATGTTTTTCATGTACAAATCATCCCTGTAATGTTACTCTTCAAATAAACTTGTAGAACATACTAAAGGAAACTCATGGTTTTTGTATCGGACTACATCACAGCTGTCATTTATTGTTTTACCATTTCTTTCTCTTGTTGGAAAATTACTGCTCCCCTCCTGTTCTTAAGTAGAATCTTGTTTGAAATGTCTTTCTTTGATATTCCACCTTCGAGAAGTGAGAAAATTTCTGTTTTCCAAATTCTCTAAATTACTGCACAGTTGAAGTTTAAACTGGTGCCAAAACTGATAAAAGAGTAAAAAGGAGTTCCTTAGAATGGCTGAATGTTTAACATAATTTTTGTTTTTATAGGTAGTTCTCTCTGAAGATCAGACGTTAGACGAAGGGAAATTAATAGCTCAGTCACTGATGGCTGATTTGGGCGTGAGGAAGGAAGATTTGGTGTCAGGAACATACATGGATCTTCTTTTAAAATAAAGGTTAGGATAAAGTACTCTTTATAAAAAATATATGAATAAGTAGTGTTATTGTTTGTGTATAATGTGGCAAATTGGAAGTGTGAAGTTTTTTGAAATCTCGAGTGAGGAAAAAAATTGCAATTTCTACCATGAAGGCGATGGAAAGTTAAGTATTAAGCATGTTTGAACAATTCCAGTTCCACACTATTCAGATACTTTTTGTGTGTGTGTTTGCTGTGACTGTTGTCATTGATTATCTGTTCCTAAAATAAAATAAACAATATTCTAATGCTGGTAGAGACTTTAAAACAGGCTGCTGGGGTTAACAGTTGAGAAGCCATGCTAGTGCATTGCACACCCAGCTGTACTGCATGTAAGCTGTAGTTTATGGATAATAATGCTTGAATGATTCACAAACCAAACTTTGCTACCTTTCTAAAAATGCAGTAAAGTAAATAAATGAGGTTTAGACCCTAAATAACATTAGCATAGCTGGCATAATATTGCAGTAATTACTAGAAGTAATAGGTTATGATCAGTTGATTAATTCAGTTATAGCAGAATGTTTGAAATATAAAACAGGATCAGAAAAGAAGTCTTAATGTGAGATTTGAGGTTTTTACAGTAGTGGATGTGTCGGTTATGATCTTCTGGATTGTGATGCCCTTATAGTCCTGTAGGTGGTTACCAATATTTTGGAAGAAAAATCACCTCGATCTTCAGGGTTGAAGACAATATGTAATCTTCTTAGTTAGCAACATTCCTTCAAAATGTCAACCATCTACAAGACTACGTGACATGACTTGTAGGCCTTTAAGACTGGATCGACGAATCTGATTTTTCATGTTTGTGGAAAAGATGGATTGATGGGTGAACCTGATACACAGTATGTTTATTTTACTGAAGATGCATAATGTTTTGTTTGTGATATAAAATAAATGTGGGAAAATGGAAACATGTTTCTATTGGCATCATTCTTATCTTGTTCCTAAGATGCGAGTTGTCGGACCAGGCCTCGCATCTGGCCGTTTCTTTCCACGTCTCCTCCTCAGTTTCATTCCATGTTGTTCCTTTCTCATTGTGAAACATTTCCTAATCTTTTGTTTCTCTCTGCCTTCGATGTTTTCCTTTTGTGCTCATATTCAAAACCTTATTTGCAATTCTGCCTTTGAAGATGGCCGTCTTTTGCAATGTTACACCATGCAGTCTGGTAGAAGTTCACCAACGTTTTATAGGTGCTTGCTGCCTTGATCTTCACTCTATATATTTTCATTGCCCCCATCTTGGACTTATTTTCATAATCACACATTTACCTAAATTGAAATTTTTTCCAAAATCTTTACACACTTTGTTCTCTTTGAAATTTCTTCTCGAAGTGCTTTTATTCAGTTTGTTATTATCTGTTCTTCATTTTGATTGGTTCATAAGCTTTGTATCTGTACATATAACTTTGAGTTAACACAAAAAAGTAAAGTTTTTTATGTTGTGTCTGCAGATCATCCTAAATACAAAATATTCTGAATTTTTCATTCCCAAATTCCCCAAAGCTAGAATTTTTCTTGGGAAGCTGATACTCAGTTTGTCAAGATTTCTCCACCTTTTATGGAAACTATCTGTGTTGACTTGAGCCTGCCTTCGGACCCTATTCAGTCGGTTGTATTTACTCTGCACCATTTTAATGTTATCCTCACATTTACACCTAGGTCTCCCAAGCTGTATCTTCTCTAAAAGCTTTCAGTTCCAAATTTTTTTTGCAAGTTTCCCATCTTACTTCCATCTTTTTGACTCCCTCTTTGACTTGTGCTGTTTGTCATATGCTAACAGAGTATCAAATTTGTGCATTAAAACCACTTTTAGGAATTTAGGAACAGATAAAATTAAAATTTCTATTACATTTCAAACTGTTTTCTTAACATAATAAAATAACTTTTGAATTTTTGTTTAATGCACAAATGGATTACAATTCTTGGAATATTTCAGTTAATGTGGACTGTATGTTCCTATGAGCTTCCTGGGTGGATAGCGTTAAAGTGATATGCATTAAGCAAATGGTGGTTGTGTGATGTTCAAGTATCACATGGCTTGAGTGAATAGATATTAGGATGTCCGCAGGTCTGTTCTGGCTATTGTAGTGTAGTCAGGGCTTTTTGTAGGGACCCATAGTGGACCAGTAATGGTCTCAGTGCCTGGGGCGACTGGAGTTGTCCCCCTAGATCAGTACCAGTACCAATAATAAACTATCGCGGACTCAAATGTGTTAATAAATAGAGGTTACATAAGATCAATTGTAATCCTAATTTCAGAAAGCTTATCATTTTCATTCTGAAACGAATATAAATGTTCATTTTACAGCAAATGACGACTTCGTGGATTCTGTATGCGTGCGTCTTCCATTCTCGTTCTCTTCTGCCTCATTGTTTAGTTGTGTGTGGCTGTAATGTTCTAGGGCTTGTATTCGGGAGGCATTCTCCTTAAATCTCGACCGAGTATCGGCTATCCAGATTGAAATTGTTCGTGGTTACCCTCAGACATAATTTATAATTGAGTGGGAGAGTGTAGCTTATTCTAATTTCAATTGCAACAATCAATCTCCAATTGCAATGTTCTGTTTCTGTCCAGTTTTGCCTACCGGCGGTATCAGGTTTCATGTGTCCGCGGCTTTTAATCGTGTAAGCACACAAACAAAACTTTCGGTGGCTTCCACACTGAGAGATCCACATCTGCAAATTTCTGTGTTGCGTTGCGTCTTTCTGTGACACTTTTTATGTTATAACCCACTTTTGTACGCATTTATTGTGTCTGGCGAAGGAACATGCAACATAGGCTCTGATGAGTGTTAGTATACTGCGTTCCAGCGTTTTTGGCCGCTGAACTTTCGTGAATTGGAACCTTGGAGCGAGACAGTTACCAGACGTTTGCTGGAAGGGATGACAGCAGGCCTCGTACAGTACACTCCAAATAAAATATCACCACTTTATATAACACAGGAAAGTCGATTTCACTACACTGTACATCACTAGAAAATTAACACTGCAGAGAGTATTCGATAATTTTACCTTTTTCACAACTCTTCGGTCCTCTTACAATTCTTCCACTCCTCGCAGACCATCGCTTTCTGGCATCACTCGATTCATCACTGCCGCTGCTGCTGTTCACTCCATTATCTTCAATTATAATACGTTCAATAGCGTCTTCGATTATGCCTTCTTGCTCGTAATAAATTTGTTCTAGTTTTCCCACATGCTGACATACATTATCCCATTCCTCTTGGCCAATTTCTTCGAATCTCTGGCTACATACCTGGTCGACGTCCTTAATTTTTAGATATTTTTCTTGCTTGCAACACTTTATTTTACATCTGCCGAAATAAATTGAATGGGGTTTAAATCGGGATTGTACGGCGGAAGTCTCATCACAGTACATTCTTTGTCTGCTAAAATCTGATCAATCACATAATATTTGTGCTTTGACTTGTTTAATTTGATTAAATCGTACAGTCGAGCTTACAACACGTTGTCACAAAATGGGATATTTCTTTCCAATAGCCAGGCTTTCATTTCGTCGTCCTTTGATTAAGACGTCGGTAGTTTGTCTGAGTGCTGTGATAAGTGGCGTTATGAATGGCCAGAAAGGAGATTGAAACGAACAGGTGGCATGTTTTTAAGACAGCACAGTCACAAGACAACAATATCAGGCTTCCACACAGCTGCACTGACACAGACTGTACTGACCGACGGAAACTCGTTCCTTCCTTCATTGAGTGGTCCGCATATTGGGCTCTCCCTACAAGTTCAGTCGCCATAATCGGTGAATCCAGTTCTAGTGCCCGCAGTTCCCTTAACCACATTTCCCATACGGCCTCTGGTCTTGCCAACCGCGATGATTTTCACGAATGCAACTTCCGCTGTTGTCGAGGGATTGCTGAACACACATTTTTCAAACGAGTTATATGTATGGTTTTGTGTAACTCATTGGTCTTGTTATTTGTTGCGGCTGAGTGTCTGATATTGAAAGCTGCCACATTACAGGTACCTCAGACCGACTGCACAGTCATGCATTATTCGCCCCTTATACGCGTTTAAATGTATTGAAAAACGTTTGAAATCAGAGTGTAGATTTTAGTAAGATTTTTTCCTATGTTACATGTCATGTTGGCCCTGCATACCAATATTTTGTTCGATAAGCCGTTAATGTTGTGACCTTCGCATCCTTCATCAGGGCCGAAATGAGTTCCGTTCGATTTGATATTTGTGTTAGGCAGGGTTGCATTAAACCACTTGGTCTCAGTCCAGGGGCACATGCGGCCTGCTGGTATGTTGTGTGTTTGTGTTTACTAAAAAAAGTTACCTGATGTCAGAAAGCACATTTTGTTATTGTTGTAAGCATTTGGAAGTATTGTGGCACTTTTTACTCATGATAATTATGAAGGGATACTGGATACTGGGAACGACCCGTTCTTCAAGTGCCTGAGCACTGCGGGGCCCAACCTTTCGTTGCCTTGATCTATAGACATTCGATAGGACTCTTTGGATGAGGGATCGGCCGTCGCAAGGCCTATACCTGTACACAGGACAGCACAACACAGAAAAAAGCGGAAAAACATCCATGGCTTGAGTGGGATTCGAACCCACGGTCCCAGCGACCAAGCGGTACAAGGCCCACGCCTCAGACCGCACGGCCGCCCTAATTATGAAGGGATGAGTGAGAATCAGTAGAAATCAAACGAGATATTAAACGATTGTTCAAGAAGATGTGTCTCTCTATCTCATTACTAGCTTCGTACGACGGTATCATTGAAGGACAAGATCGTAATTTAACAAGGCTTATGAATAATTACTCTGTATTACGTGTTGGTTGGTTGTACTTTGTATCTTGCTAGCGTGTCGCTGTTCCTCCTTTCTTTTGATTTACTTCAGTTGCTTTAAATGTAACTGGATTTCCTTAACACTGATGGAAATACATGAGTTATTATTTTTCGGAAAATGTTTAAGAATTAGGCTTATGTAACATTTAATAATTTATCTTCACGTAATTTAATGTTGCGATGCCGGAATATAACAAAAGGAAAACGCTGTACAATATATTTCATCTTATTCATATCAGGATTCCAATTCTGTTTTATATTTTTCGTAGTTAAAACAAGCAATTAACTAATTCTCTGGCAGAATCTAAAAACTGCAGTGTTCGAGAAACGCTGCAATGCATCTCAGCTTATTTTTTACTAATTTCGTATCTTGATCATATTATTTAGATTCGTACTTCTACGATCTGATCATATTATAGTGAATTTTTCGTTAATTCTTCATTTTAAAGTGAACCGATATTCATGCAAAATAAATTCCTATTTATTTTCACGTTTACAATTTATTTCCTTGATTAAATTAAACAGTAGGCTCTATCGATTATTTCGGCTCCTTGTACTCAAGAGTTTAGGAACCGGGGTAGCTCATGCAGTGTGACTGACTGCGGGCTGGACGACCGAGGTTAGATCTCCGACAGGATATTTCCTCTAACCTCTGCGTCCAGACCGGCTCTGGGGCTTACCTTGTGTACAGGGGTCCTTTCCCAGGGGTAAAGCGCGGTTGGGGCGTGACGCTGACCACTCACCCCTATCTAGTGCCGAGGTTAAGAATGAGTAGAAGGTGTATCACCTCTTCCCCAAATGCCTACATGGTGTATAGTGGGACAGCTTTAGTTTTTTTCTACTCAGAGTTCATTGCCTTACACATGTTCCACCAACTTCTGCGAAAATACACGTTTTCTGTACGTTTTCCTCGAAGAAACTGCAGCTGTTTAGAATACAACTTATCATACAAGGAAATAAGTTTGCAATATAGGTTCTCTGCAATGCTGAGTGCCCTTCAGTTATATCCTGAGCATGTACTTTTCTACAATATTCTGTCTTCTGCAGTCGCCCAGGAAACAAACGCCACGCAACAGCCCTTGTTAAGAAGCTCGG